TTTATTTAAAAACATAATATAATTAAGCTACAATTCGCAAAAAGCCGTGCCCGGATACTTTCTTCAGGGGAGTGTATATGTATAGATTATTTTTTATAATTAAACTATACCTTGGCAATTAAAATCTTTATTTGAGCTATTAAAAAAATTTATAATGTTTGTTATAACATTATTATTAAGAAAATGAACTTAATTATAGATAAGATGAGTTTTACTAAATTTCATTATGTCAAAATTTAAATTTATGAAAAAAGATTCTATTTGTTATAATTTAGTATCTGAGAAACAGTTTCTAATATTATAGGTAACAATCTATAAAAAGTTTAAACTACTATTTAATGAGAAAAAGGAACATTTATATTAAAATTATTAAAATTATTATTATTAATAAGACATGAAGAAGTCATTCCTATGATATTATATATTTTATTATTATTAATTATAATAAATGATTAATTATAGGTAAGGCTTAGTGTAATATTAAAGAGATGGATTTAAGCTTAGATTTAAGATTTTCAAGTTCATTTTCAAATTATGCAATATAGAGTGTAACAATTTTATTATTTTGCTGTATTTTAGTATTGATTGAGTTAGTGTTTTTACTAAATAAGAAGTATCTGTAACAGGTAATTGCTAATTAATTGTAATTATATTCTTTAATATAGATTTAATTGTTTTATTAACAATTTTTATGATTAGTTCTTCTTCATTATTATCAGAAATCTCTATAAAAGATTTAAGTCTAGTAAGACGATAATTAATGTCTCCTTAATTACAATATTATTAAAAAACTTTATTCTTTATATTAGTGAGCTTATCAGAAAGGAATATAAATTTATTATCAATATTATCTATTCTAGCTATTAAGGAGTGAATAGTATCAATCATGTTAGAAAAAATATTAGAGTTTCTACTATTATTTCCTTTAGGAGGTGTTAAAGTACTATTATTCAGTTTAGATTTAATAGCATCAGTATATAATGTATTGTTTTAAAAAGTTGAGTTAGAATGAGAATGAGAAAATCTATATTGTTCAGGTTTAAAGTGATTATATAGAAGCTTATAAAGATTAGATAAGCCTTTTTTAGAGCAATTTTTAATCTCTTGATCAGTATCAAATGTCATCAAAACTAAAACAACTATTTGCTTTATATTAATATTTAATAATTCAAGAAAGTTAAATGCTTATCAACTTTTAAAAGATCACTTAAATTATTTATATGAAGATTATTTGAATGAACAACAACAACTTAAAAATACTGAAGATTTATTTAATGAAGATATGTAATTATAATTCAAAAACATTAATAAATATTAAAAAATATTTATTATCTTATTAAAGATATTAACTGATTATAGTATTCTTTTTCTGATATTTTTTACTTAAAAATAATAAAGAATTTATAAGATCAAATTTAATAATAGAAGAACTTATTTATAATTCTAATAAATTAAATACTCTCTTAAATAACAAAAATAATTTAAATGTTAATCAAAAAAACATTTATAATACAATCATTTAAGTTTTTAATAAAAAAATAGATGAAATAATATTTTTATTGATAGTTTTGGAGATTATAGAAAGATCTTTTTGTTTAACATAATTTTGGTAAAAATAAGAGCAAATAATAAAATAGTTATTATAGTTGCTTTATTAGGAATTGCAATTTTATTATTAGATAGTAGAAGAATAGCCTATTCAATATTTAAGATCCTTATTAAATTAATAGAAACATCTACTTTAGATATAAGTATTACAACTGAATTAGTTAAATTAATTTAAATAATAAAACTTATTATCTAGGATAAAGCACCAATAGCATATAGGTTATCTTTAAAGCTGTTAATAAAATCTTTAGAGATATAACTGATATCAAAAAACTATTTAGAAGTTTAATTGTTGTCTTAGGTGAAAATTTTAAGTAAATCTTACTTGTAGTAATTTGAGAAAGACGTAAACAAATTATAAATTCTTGCAATAAACATTTATATTTATGGAAATATGTTAATATTATGCATTTAACTATTAATATAAGAATTAAACAATCACAAGATGATGAGCAAAAACAACTTGTAGATTATTTATTACAAATTGGTAAAGGAAAAGAATTGTTATATTTTGAATTTAGTGAAGATATCATCAAATTATAAGATGATATAATCTTTAATGATGAGAAAATTAAATCATTAATATTAGAAATTTTTTATAATATTAATAATAATGTATATAATGTATATGATTTTTGATTTTTTTATTTAATATATATTTTTTTTTATGAAAATAGAACGGAAATGTAGATGATAGTGAAAAGCAAGATCAAGTTCATTCATTAAAGAAAATCCTTCTGAAATTCAAAATATCAGCATTCCTTAAAACGTAAGACGAAAATTTCAATTTAATTTAAAATGCTTAAATGTGAATATTATTATTAATAATTTTAACTAATTTATTATAAATAGTATAATAAATAAAAAAAAATTGTAAATGATGATCCTTTATAATTTATTACCACATTTTAAAACAAATTCACGTGATTTTTGTGTCACGATCGCTTTTATAAGTTGATTTCAACGGAGTAGGTAACTTTGACTTTCTTTCTGTATGATTAAAATGTCGTTAGTATATTGTTACGGTTTTCATGGTTCATCATGTGGTTATTGTGAGTCGGAAACGAAAACGGGTTATTCTCACAAATTCGGTATGAGTGCAACTAGTTTAACCTGCGAGGTAATTGAATTTTTCACGTATATGTTATAATAATTACTCAATTTATTAATATTAGTTGATTTCACAGGATTATCAAAATTTGATTGATGCCGGTTGGCGACGGTAATGAATTCTTGGCAAATTCCTTCGTGTATGAAAAATAAATGTTATTATTAAATTTTTTTTAAATATAGTTCTGGTGATTATCTTTATAAACCCCACATGAGAGCATGTTGCTGTCCACAGTATACTATAAGGCAATAATAAAATTATCATTCCTTTTATTGAATTTTCCTATAAATGTTTATATTGATATTTTTTTTTTAAACCAAATTAGATTGAACGCGAGTGAATTTCGTGCCTCCAAATCTCAGCGAAAATTGATTACTCGATTTAATCGATATGTTGAAGGAACTTATGATCCCGCGAATAAAGATGTTAATGGTGGCGATGAAACATCCAAGTAAATTTATATAAATATTATAATGTTTTGTAATGATTTTTTTCAAATAGATAATTAAATTATTTTTATATTTTTGAAGAACAAATTCCCGACAAAATGGTGCTAAAATATCATCGAAAAAAGCAGGGAATGGTTTTGATTTGATTGAAGTCATTCATGAGGCTGAAGATCGACAAGATTGGAAACGTCGTTTAAGAGTAATATTCTTAAATAATGATATTTGTTCTAAAATTGTCTTGAAGTATTAAAATTGACTGTTTATGTGAAATTAGATCGTGTTTGAGAAATCTTCTTTTTCTAAAGAAAAGTATGAACTATACCGCAAATATCAAATCAAGGTTCATAACGATGAACCTTACGAGGTCACCGAAGGAGGGTTTAAAAGATTCCTTGTGAATTCGCCTTTAAATGTACTTACTAATATTTAACATGATTGCTTGAAAGAAAAAAAAAAGTTTTTTTTTTTTTTTTTGAATCTATAATCTATAGACTGATTTCTTTTTCCTCCACTAAAAAGTTTGAAGCAACCGATAAACCAAATATACCAGGATATGGATCATTCCACCAATGTTATTATTTGGATGATAAGCTTATCGCAGTTGCAGTTCTTGATGTTTTACCTAAATGTGTTTCCTCGGTCTATTTTTTGTATGATACAGATTATGGATTTTTACAACTTGGAAAATATAGTGCTCTTAGAGAAATTGCAATGGTACAAGAATTTTGTAATGCTGGATTACAAGATTTGCATTGGTATTATATGGGTACGTACATGTTATTACGTGTCAAAACCGTAAGTTCTTATTTAATTTAGACAATTTCATCTTATTGTAGGGTATTATATTCATACATGTCAAAAAATGAAATACAAAGGACAATATAAACCTTCCGATTTATTGGATCCCGTCTGTATTATAATCAAATTGGATATTGTATTGGGCCAATATTTTTAACATTTTTCTTTTCGTTCCTTAGGAAACATATGAATGGTATTCCTTTGATAGATGCGTGGCACTTCTTGACAAGCATAAATACGTGTCATTTGCAAATCCACCCAACGGCGAAGAAAGCAATAACAACACGGATGAATCAGATGATTATTTAACACCTCCAGGAATGTTGGATCCAGAAACAGTTACGGACGATGATATCAAAAACGTCCAATTGTATTTTGACAATACCATCAAGCGGCTCAATGTAAGTTTAACATCATTTATTACGGAAAGATACGGTGCTTTGTGAAAGGTATTAATTGCCTTATCATTTTTGAAAGGAATTACCCAATTGGAAAAATAAAGAGAATTTAAAGAATAGAGTGAAGGAATATTTTGCTGCGGTCAGGAAAGAAATGGCTGAAACGATAGTTTTAAACTTTAATAGATATTAGCGTACGTTACAGCATTTCACTCATACGTTCTATTTATGAGATTTACTTGCTATCTATATACATTTATATATATATATTGTACAGTTGAGTCTATAAGCAATTCATGTCTAATTTAAATTCTAAGATCTAATGAATTAGCCATAATTACTGAAGAAATGAATGATGTGAAGATGATGAACAAAGAAGCATATGAAAGAGATGTGACAGAATTTGAATTATCACTTTTCTTTTCAGTGGTAGAAGAATCATTTTTAGGAGGTTCTGTACCGACAGGTTTAATACTAAATTCTTTGCTTTGAGCAACGGGAGTAGTTTTTTCATTCAATTCAGACAAAGCATTATAAAATTTTAATACCCAGTTGTTTTCACCGACCAAATTATCCGTTATATTCCATGCATATTTTCCGTCTGACGTTGGAATGCTTTGTCCCACCGCGTATTCTCCGGTAAATAATTCGGTTGGAGTTTTCGAAATAAGTTTAATCGTAATACGTTGAGGGTCTAAATTTTTTTTTTTTTTTTTACAAAAAAAAAATCATTCGCTAGTCGCTATGGAAATAAATGTAATTTGAATGTTTGCTTACCATCATTTCCACTCGAAGTCCAAGTGATCAACAAGGTTTCATTAATGACACCATAAAATTTTGGATTTGGCGTTAAAATTGTAATTTCCGCTGTACAAACGCAATAAAATTTAGTATGACAAAACGAACACGTTTTAAAAAATTTAAGAGGGACTTACAAACGACACAAAAATTGAATACGACGAGAATTGTAAGAAAAATCAATTTAATCGATGCCATTATTTTACGTGTCAATAGGTTGGTTTGGATGAGATAAATCGAAGAGAGAAAGATTATATAAGAGAATAATTTCAGATCTTTATAAAATATTTTATTTAATTCCGCGCTTCGCATCTTGGCGATGACTTTTTTTTTACCCTTATAATTGATCCCGTGATCAAGATAATGATGATCAAATCAAAAAAAAATGAAAAAAAACCACACCGAAAAAGTCGGCCCGAACCGTCATTTCAGGCTTATCTTTGCGTAAATTTCTCCCGGTTTGGCTTAATGATTCGGTTTATCGAATAAGTCAAATTGGCTTTATTGTTGATCAAAAGATGGCTTATTAGGCTTAGATTTAGCCAAATTACCTATTCACTTAAATTCATTCAGACCTTTCTTTTTCTTCAAGAATTGTGACATGAATACAAAGTTTTTCTTTTATGAAAGTATACAAATCACAATTAAAAAAAAAGGAAAATATTTTCTTTCATTTTCCGGCCACGTGGAATTTAAAACGCATAAACAAAGAGGTATTGCATCAGTTCATATCTCGTGACACAGCGCAAGTCATCGTCTGATAATTCAAAATGATGGAGATATTACCAACGACAAAAAGATAACCAAAAAGAGATCGCAACAAATTTCCTGAAATTGGCGAAACGCCAAGGAGATCTCTTTAAAAGAGGTGAAACCAAGAAAAAAAAAATTATTTAGCAAACTTTTGCGGAAATGCCAAATGCCTAAAATCGGTTAGCCAGACAACCTTAATCTTGGAACAATAACAAATCGAGCAGCCCGCTTATCTAACAACCTAATTTGTGAAACGACAATATAGACCAACAATACGCCCGCATCATCTTCAATTGAACATCATCAATGTGTCAGGATAACTTGAATGCCTGAGAATAAAACCGAAATGGTGTGGATCATGAATTGATTTTGCTTTGATCATCTCCTACTTACTATGAAATACTATGAAGGGTTACACGACCAATCTAGCCGAGTAGGAAGAATAAGGACTAAATGAACACTTATCAGTAGAACGTTCATTAAAGTAGATGGCGCTATCATACGTATATACGTATAATAAACACAGATTGTTCCCGTGAATTCCAATCGCTTGCTTTTTTTCAAGGAAAACCCTTCCCAAATGCAGGCGTTAAATTCGATCTTTGACTAACCATTTGATATTAGGTGCAACACCTTAGTTGATTACGCTACGATTTGGTCAAATGTTTACCAACTAGAATGGTTAGAAGGTAAGGATCTGGGTTCGTATTATTAGACATAATTAAAAAGAAAAAACTCGATGATCGAGATGTTTGCATTTGGAATCAGTTTTTTTTTGTTTTGGCTTGGTCGTCTGGGTCAAATGATATATGGTAAGCAATTCATGATTGTGGTTACATTGGCAGATCACACAATTTCTTAAAAAAAGATAATCTTCTTTTCCGATATTCCGTAATTGAGGTCTAGAACAGAATTATTACCATTATTGGGTTGAATGGAAATAAATAAAAAAAAAGATCTCTCGATAAAATGTAAAATAAGATTTTAAAAAGAAAAAAAAAAATGGCGTCCTTGTGATAATAAGCAAGATTGATGCGGCAATCCTCTAGAATGAATGAAAATATCCAAGAATAGTTAAAATGTTCTTAATTTCTTGCCACCCTTAAAAAAAAGAAGGTAAATAAAAAAATTAGATCTTTTATAGAAAAATTACCTTGGAAGGATGAACATTACGCATTCATCTAAGTACCCATGCAAGTCGAATCACTTAATATGGGCAAGAACTTGCAACCGAAAAAAAATGTTGTGGTTCATTACATAATCATTATTTTTACAATAAATGTTTATGTGAAATAAAATAACTGACAGATGATGAATTATGCCAAAAACAGCGGACATTTAGTTTGTTAAAATAAGTGAAAAGGAAATATTTAAGGAATAGAGATTTCATTGTACCTTATGATTGTTTTAAATTGTTTAAATTACTTTATTAAAAAATTTGTCGCAATAATTCGTGTAGATCCCTTTTTGAAAGAAATGGGGGTCAAACGCCAAATTAATTTTATTGAATAAGATATCATTGATAATTGTTATCCTAATTTGCCTAGATTGGTTTTTAATAAAAAATTAAATTGTTTGTTTGCTTCCCCTTATTAATTTGTTAATAGTTTTTGTCAGTGACACCAAATCGTGTCAAGGTATATAATAAATCAACTTTCCATTCTTTGTATATTTTGTATTGTAACTCTGGTCAAAAACAAAAAAAAAAAAAAAAAATTTAAATTACCTTTTTTATATAATATATTCGATTGTTCGATTGCGTATAAAAACCAATTCAATTTTTGCTTCTTTTTTTTTTTTTTTTTTTTTTTTCCTCCAAGATTGACTTTTTTTATGTTAAAAAAAAAATTAACTTTTAGTCTCTCTCTGCAATACATTTCTATCACCAAATTTCCGAAATTCTTTTTTCATACACCTCCCTTTCGCATCCCTATTTTATGTGTATTATGTGTAAGTATTAAAATTTTTACAAAGTTAAAGAAAAACCTTTTGGAAACGAGTAGACTAACCAAACCAATTTGTTCAAATTTTCTTCCTTAGCCTTCAATTCCGATGGTTTTCTTTTTTTTTCTGCCGCCCTTCATAGTGAAGAAGAAAAGAATTCATCGAAAGAAAAGCATACACTTGTAATGACCAAAGTATATGCAAAAAAAAAAATTTTACGCGTTTCCCTATAATTTATAATATGAAAAAAAAAAACAAAAAAATGGATTGCATTTGCCCGTTAATCTGCTCTTTGCCCTTTTAGGCTATTTACAAAAGAGACGTTCCATTACATATATGTCTTCTTTAAAATTTCCTTTTTCTGTTTCTCTTTAAAAGTACCCCTTTGTCAATTGATATTCCTTTCAATGAGATGCACCTGTGAAAAATATAATCCCCGGCGCTTTATTTTCAATCAATTTTTTTCAAAAAAAAACATTCAATTGCCCTTTTTTTTTTGTACATAAAAAACTAAAAAAAAAAAAAAAAGGCAACTCTTTCCTTGTATATAGATATAACAAAAATATAAATAGATTTTCTTTTTTTTCAATTGTATATATATATTTTTTTCTTTTTTTTTTTTTTAAAATTATTTATTAATTTTTAATATCGTACTTAATATTTAATAATCAACCAAAGAAAAAATTTTTTTCGTAAAGTTTTTTCTTTTACCTTATTTTTCCTCTCTATATCTCTCTATATATGAGCCACGCATAAATGCATTAAAAAGAATCGAATAGTGTGACAAATTTTTTAAACCAATTTATTTTTTAAAAAAAAAAAAAAAAAAAATCAAAAAAATCAAAAAAAAAAAAAAAAAAATCCAAAAAAATCCAAAAAAAAAATCCAAAAATGTTAAACTACTTTTTTTTTTTTTTTTACCATATTTGTTCTTTTGAGTACACCACACTTACAGTATACCACTTATATCTATGCCCTTTTCCCCTAAGTTACATAATTAAATCTACATAAGACTTTTTTTTTGTTATGAATATTTTATTTAAGGTATTTAATTAGGTTTTTCTTGTTTTCACATATATGTTCAAAGTTTATTTTATTTTTTTTTTTTTTGATTTCTCTTTTTTTCCCTTTGTGAGCAAATAAAAAAAAAAAATAATAAAATAAAAAACAATACAATTCATTTAAAAAAACAATAAAAAAAAATAATAATGAACGTTATGAGGTTATCACGTGATGATATAATTTCGGCCGGAAATTTTGTCACCAAAAAGTTTTGGTAGTATTACGAATGATATGTCTCTTTTCTCCAACAGAATTTAATGGGAAATATAATCATTTCATTTTCTTTGCAGATCGATATTTTAATGAAATGTGTGACACTTTTTTTAATGCAAAGTAAATCAATCATCAGGAGAAACAAGATAGAAAAAGAAAATATTTAATCCAATAATAAATTGAATACATCAAGTGGTTTTTATTTTCTATACAGATCTTCTTAATAGAATTTCTTGAAAGAATTTCTCTTTGGACTTTACTTTCTTTTGAGAAACCAACTTCACCAACCATCTAATTTTTTTAAAAAAAGGCTGGTTCATAATATTGGTGGTTACTTTTTGCATGCTTTTTTTTGGTTAAAAATAAGCCGCACTATCTTGAATCGTTCAAGTGAAATCAATTCTATCTTCCATATGGATTTAT